CATAAACATTTTAATATCATTTAAAATTTTGTAAAAAGCCAATAAATAAAAACAATAAATCTGTAAAAAGACATTAAATTAAGAATTTACTATGCTTTCATGGTTCAACATCCTGATTCGCCGGTTCATATCACACGATCCCAAGTGATCTCATCTCACGTAAGCTACGCTACAAAAATCTAATTCTCAGTAATTATCTACATTAATTTCAAGTTAAATCTTAATTTGGAATACAAGTTTAAATGCAAGAATTATTTCAATTTGCACAAATAGCTTACTCAGAAATTTTGTAAAACCGCAGTGCTTTACTTCTCTAGTGCATTCTCATTAGAATTGGTGAATTTAACCCTTGACTTAGCCTTTTCTATATTTTCGGGTGAGTGGTGTGATTGCATCCTAATTTACTTGAATTACGGCAAATGGCCTTGGGACATAAAAATGAAACTGTCTGGTAACATTCTATGTAATTGTATGCCAGTATTGAAAGAAACAAAAAATCTAAGAAATGGCTGCGACTTGTTTTGAAAGTGAGGCGTAAAAGGTTACCAGCGAGGATATACCGTTTGGCATCAGTTGTACCATTATTGGCAACTTTATCGCCTGCACTAGCAAAATGGAAAAGTACCCTTATTTCTTTGTCTAGTGAGCTTATAAAGCTTTTCAAATAAGTTTATTATTGATTTACTATTGATTATATTTTTCATAATTTTGTGAATATATAATAATTTTAGATTCTATAGCTAACAAAAGCAATATAGTTATTAATTTATAATTAGGTACTTTTTTCTTATATGTGCTCTGAAAAAATACAGTTGTTAAAATGTATAGTAATGTGCCAAAGATAGCAACAATGTGATCAGCTAAGTCATCTCGGTTGTATGAGTAAAATAGAGCCAAATATTCACGTGCTATAATTTCAAGCCTTTTTTTTAGAACTGCATGAAACATAATTTGATGGATGATTTTCTTCATGTATATTAGCTGACTAAAAGCATTTTTATAGGGGAAAAAAGAAAATGATTTTCACAATCTGGGATTACCAATTATTATACACCAAAACAACGTTACAACTTTAGATCGTGGGGTATAAAAAAAAGGTGCCAGATCTCACACTTGGTGTGAAGGGTCACTCCAAAATTTCCTTGCTGCTGTAAAATTTATCTACTGTTGGTGCTGTGAACTTATCTCAGTTGAGTTTTGTAATATGCAATTAAAAGTGAACCTCAATAAAATTGTCGACTGGAACAATTATATGTGGCAGGTTTGCTCTCACACCTTGTTATATAGACCTGATGTTAAAATTGGTGGAAATAACAGAATAGCAGAGGTTGACAGAAGTCTTTTTACAAAAAGGAAGAGCAACATTTGACGTGTTGTTCTTTCACAATGGGTTTTTGGAGGCATTTGTAGAGAAACCAAAGAATTTTTTTTTTGCAGCCATATTGGGTTGTTCCGCTAAAACTTTACTTGATGTGACTGAAAAAAGTGTCACAGAAGGTAGTACAATACAAAGTCTGAAATCCGGACGTCCAATATCCGGAATGATCTAAAATCTGAACCTCAAAACCAACAACAACATTTCTCTCGTAGGCTTTACTCATGCATATTTGATCCGCTCCACGCATAATAAAACATACTGATTCTTAATTTCACTTCGATACTAAATAAAATACCTTGCTATTGAAGAAACGGTCATTTTAAAAAAAATTTGTATGATTAGTAATTTGACTCTGTTGCTGCATATCTGTTTTGGCACACATCTCAAACTGAAACAGTCCACATAGATACATCGTCGATCTGATGCCAGCCTGGCGAATCAATATTTATAATACTTTCCTTTCATCACCGCATGTTTATCAACACATGACAACTTGAGTAATGACTCATGTACGATGCCTAAACAATTTTTTATGTTAGTAATTGAATAATAAAGGAGTATGGTAACCTTTTATGTTGACATTATGCTTTGTGATGATTACAGATTTAAGTTAATACGCTAAAAAATGTTGACGATGAAAAATTTAACAAAAATTTCTTTCCATATGCTAAAAGTAGATTTTGTTGATTATACTTATATACCCAAAGATTACATTCAGGGCTATTTGAATTAAGAATAACTGATTTGTTATTCATATAAACCCAGAACCAGCGCCAGGGCTCATATGGCTGCACCGGGTGTAGAATTTAGGACCCACAGGAGACTGCATCAGGCGGTAAAATATCTAGCGCCGGCTCTCAATAAGGCTTAAGTATATGTGGGAATTTAGAACTCTGATAAGCCTTTAGCATGTGCAAGAAATAGACATAAGCATTGTTGCGTTTTTCTTTTCACTTCTGACACCAATTGTTACGTTATTTTCTTCCTTCACATTCGTAGATTTGGAGTGAATAACAACGAGACTGGATGAAGTATTGAAACACACTTTATTTATCAATATTAATCAGGACAGCTCCAAATACTTTTACAGTCGTCGATGAACTACTACAGTCAAAAGTCGTTAATTTGGACACCCATAATCCGGAATGACCTATAATCCGGACCTCAAAGCTACAAACTTTCTGCGTAGCGTTGACACATGTGCGTAAGACCTTTACGGCTGTGAAAATGCGTGTGTGCATGCGCATAATACATTTACGCATGCGCGTTTAATGTATAACGGACGGTATAAGCTAAGCTAAAATGATCTAATTCAGTTAATGTTGCAGATTGCGTTGTTCCTTAATCTTCGAATTGGATCTGGCTTATTATTTTTTGCAGACTGTTAGAGCAATTTTTAAAAGTAAGCTTGAACTTTCCATTATGTCAAATAGAATTTCCGATATATTATTTCTTTAATATGTACACATAATATATTTAAAGAAATATATGTATACATATTAAATATATGTATACATCCTTTACATATAACTAATATGTAAAGGATCTACAAAGCGAAAGATGTTTTGAAGTCCATTAAACAAAAAGTGGAACTGCTGCAAAAAATGGATAAAGGCATATCCTTCGTTTCTCTAACCATTACTAAATCTGTTTATCAATTTCACGCTGCTCTGCGGCGGAGGGGGGTGGACGCAGCGGCACGCAATGAATTGGAAGTTGATCTGTCAGCACTATCCTTATCTTCAGAGCTGATGTTTTTATTTTATTTGGCTTATAATTCCTTACTAAATGTAGTATTTCATCTCGATGTACTCTGTCTTTGGTATGATTTAAATCAAATTCCTCGTCATTCTAATTCGCTTCCGATAGTGAAGAAAATGACACAGTGGTTATTGAAAACGAAAACATTTCGATTGACAAATTAGTCAGTATTCTCGACACAGCAATTATAGGACTTGAACAGTGGAACTTTGTAACTGAAGAAGAAATTATGTCTGTTTATAGAATTAAAGAGAAAGTATTATCACATAAAATGAAACAACTTACATTGAAAGAAATGTTTAATAAAGTAAAAAAATAAATATTAAGCTTTTTTTTTGTAAATTTTGATACCCTTTAGATCATAATTGTTCTTTATTTCATAAATTACGGTTTCATATTTTTAATTTTATAATTTCTGCATGCCATCTTACCAGATTTAAACTGATGATGTATAATCTGGAAAAATCGATAATCTGGAATCGCCGAAGTCCCGACGAGTCCGGATTAACGACTTTTGACTGTATAAACACGCTGACATGATCAGCGACACAGCCTTCAGGTTATTAGGCTATCACGGTGGAGACAGCTTAACTGCAAAGCTCAAGAATAGAGCTCTCGACTCTGCAGTTCAGTCGTTCCCGGAGCTAAACATGCTCTCTTGACGATGCACTAACCGCGATATACTAAGGAACTCTTCGATGCACTCGGCACTTGCTGGCCGGTTGTCAACTCGATCGTCTCCACATGCTCGATCAACTAACTAGATGAGTTACACTCTCGATACCAACCGACTCTCCACGTAACAGCAGGGTTTATATAGATTTTGACTGGTGTTCGAGTACATTCTGGGCTAAACCGGTAAGAATTCGTTCCAGAAGGTTCTCCATCCGTCCATGGTATGTCGCCAATTTTGTTGCCAAATGAGCGATTTCTCACCAAATATGGCAACCCTGCCCTCCATTGCCATTTTATGGCAACCCTAAAACTTCTTTGCGGGGAAGCTATCTTACCGCGCCTGGACATTTCGTAACGGTATAATAAATAACTAAACTAATACAATTTAGGCTTAATTGTCTCAGTGCGCAATAGAAGCTATGTAAAATTTAAAGGAACAACTTGTCGTTAGTTGGCAAGCTCATGATGCAGAGCCAATAATGTAATAGTGAACAGTAGCTAAATTTGATGATGATAGCTGCGAATTTTAAAGATTTTTGAATATCGTAAAACAAAGGTGAAAGTTTCCAATTAATGGATTTTGTAAAGAAATGTGGAGAAACGATAATAAATGAAGATGATATACAATAAGTTTTTCATTGTGATGACAGTGCTCCTCAATCATCAATCAATTAATGAATGGTGAAATCTGTAGTATGGTTCTTGATCCAGAAAATACTGCTACCGATAGTGAAGAAAGTGACAGGGAAGTTACTGAAAGTGAAAAATTTTGATTGACAAGTTAGTCGGAATTCTCGACGTAGCAGTTACAGGACTTTAAACAATGTAAATGAACAAGAGATGATGTCTGTGTACATATTTAAAGAGAAAGCAATAGCACAAAAAGTGAAGCAACATAAAAAAGTACATTGAAAGAATTGTTTAATAAAGTAAACAAATATGTAAGATACAATAACACGCCGAACAAATATTAATTTAGAAGTTAAACAACAAAAATCAACGTTATATTTTCAAATATGGCGCTGATATTTCAAATATGATTTGAAAATATAATGCTGATTTTTGTTGTTTGACTTCCAAATTAAACAAATATGTATTAAGCTTTTTTTTTTGTAAGTTTTGATACGCTTTAGATCATAACTACTTCATTATTTCATAAATCACAATTTCATGTTTTTAGTTTTATAATTTCTACATGCCATCGTACTAGATTTAAACTGATGATCTAATATCCGGAAAATTCCCAAATCCGGAATCACCGAAGTCCCAACAAGTCCAGATTTCGGACTTTGTACTGTACAGTTTTTTTCCTCATTGCTGGAAAGCAAAGGAGAGGATTTGAAAGAAGTAGGATATGATCATCTCACAGTTAACTACAAATACAGTTTCGTAGACCAAAAACTGGATGTCATACCCAAACAGTTGAAAGTATGTGGAGCAGCACAAAATGACGTTAAATGCCAATATAGTACCATACACCACCATCTTGAATCATTAGAGTTTATGTAGCAACAGTTATATTAAAAAAAAAAGAATTTCTTTCCAAACTATTAGGCATCTCTAAACTCATGATCCCTGTTCAAGTTTAAATTGCATTTCATTTATAATGTATTTAAAATTTATTAATACTGTTATAATAAAAAATATGTTTTTCGTGGCACCCGTATGACAGAAAAGTACCTATGATAATAATTAGGCATAACACAGTTTTAATTATAAAATTTCCATATTGTTAAAATTTTAAGTTTAATTAAATAAACTTAAATAGTTTTAAACTTTCTAAATATATTGTAAGTTGCTGGAGATAATCATATTTATATACCAGTGTTTCTTTAAATTTTTTAGTTAGGTATTTCTGCGAAGATACTTATTGGTGGAAAGGTAAGACTCGAAAAAAGAAGAACAAACTCATGGAATGCATGCATTGTGGTTACACTTGTGGTTACCCTAAAGATTTGAGAAGACACATTTTGACCCATACTGGAGAAAGACCTCATACCTGCACTACCTGTGGAAAAAAATTTGTTTTATCCCATCACTTGAAAAAGCATTTGAGAAGTGTTCATTTGTTAGATATTTGAAAATATTTGTTTTTAAAGTATGGATTTTGGTATAAATTTATAGATTTGTTTTTCATAAAATAAAATTAATTCTAGTTATAATTCAATACATTAATCTCTTAATTTTTACATTTCACATTATTTCGTACAAACAGATTAACTGTTGCACATGAAATGAGTTTTATAGCATACATCATAAAATTTTGTGTTTATTTAGTTACAAGCAGTCTAGTCACACATTATACAATGCCCTCGCAAATTAAAGTATCAGAATGCTGGTTTGATGAATCTTTCTGTGTAGTATAGTGCTGAAATTGTACTAAAACATTTTATTCTTATTTTATTTAACATTTACAGTTACTTGGCAATATATTGTATTCTTGTGAAAAACTAATATTACTAACACCTTCAATGTTTGGTATATCCCATATATCCATGATTAATCTAGTATAAACAACAACAACAACAAAAAAAAAAGGTCCTTTGTTAAATTTGCAGCTTACATTCCGAAAACTTATTGATGCAGAACCATTGTAATAGTCCTTAATTTGCCAAAGTTGGCAACTATTTGCCCTTCTTTGGTACATTTTGGCTTTTTCTTTATTAACACGCAAGTACTTGTTGTTATTTATGAATGGTTCCAGAAATTATTCTTGAAATTACTTCAGATATTTTAAGTGCTTTCTGATTATCTTTAACCCCTTCCTGAAAAGTTGCTGATTTTTTTTATAACCTACCAATTACAAAATTAAAAATGTAAGAAACTTCCATAATAAAGTACTTTCTTTTTGTGCTTTCTTCCAACATACACGGCATATTTTAGCTTCAGAAAACATCTGAGAATTTCAAAGCTTGGCACCACAGCACACAGTGATCTGTTTTCACTTAAAAAGAATATGGTTATTACACACTGTTTCTGCATGTACACAATGATCACGTTTCATTTAAAATTTATCAGATAATTGCACAAATTTTGGTCAGTAAAATTCAATCATTTATGAAATACAACTTCATAGAATGAAAATGTTTGCATTCTCTGTTGTTAGGCAAAGTACCATATTTTTAGAAACACAATACTTTTATTTTCATCAGCTGGCAAAATTCACCTTATGATTTAAAAAAATACTAATGCCATCTTCTCATCTGCTGCATGCATACACATACATGGGTTTCAACATAAATACATTCTGGCAACATATGGTTTTGGCTTTTAAGTGCTGTTCAGAGGTTACAGATAATCAGAAAGTACCTTCACCTGACACCTGTTTAAAAGTCACTTTTCATTTCTTAACTTTTATTTCAGTAACATGAAGATCAGTGAGCATATAAATATATGAGTACTGTTAAAAAAAAAAAAAAAAAAAAAAAAAGACCGAACATCTTTATATTGCATGCCAACAACTCTAGATGGCCTATTGTGGCTATTGTCTGTGCCTAAAGTCATATTATGATAACATATTGCCTATTACTAAATTCTGATTTATGCGCTTGTTGTCAAGTAATTACCAGATGGAATGAGGTTGTATATAAACTGCTTGTTTGGTTAGTGAAAAAGTAAAAATAAAAAAGTTGGAGGTACAACATGGCTGTGTGAAAGTTTGCATAAAACTGGGAAAAATTTTCACAAGATCATTCCAAATGTTCAATCAAATACACAAAAGATGACACAAAATTGAACACTGTCTATGATTGGTTTCAGTGTTTTAAGTAGGATAGAAGATTGGTTGCCAGAGACTCAAGGATTGGATCAGAGCTGGATTAATTATAAAAATACACATGTACTTAGGGCACTAAGGGAGAGGAGCACTACAAAAATTCTTTAGGAAGGGGGTATTACAAAAATTTCTCATTGCCTTTTTACTGTGGAATATGTACACTGCAGGTAAACAAGACCAAAAGAAGGAAAGCAAAAAAGCATGCATAAATTTATGTGAGGCATCTAAAAGTTAGCGGCCTTGGACTGGGCAACAATTCAATGTCAACAGATTAATATGTTCAGAGTTCACCAGAAATGTGTACTATGTGGTCAGATGCTAAACAAGGAAGTCAGACAGAGAATTTTAACATGGTTGAGAGATGCTGTATATAGGAAGATAACTGAACTGTGAGAGGAATCAGTTGTGGATGTTGCATCATGAATATCCTTCTGCTCATTCATTACTCCTTATTGCCAGTTATCTGACAAAACATTGTACTTTCATTGTGCCCCACCTATCCTATTGTGCTGACATGGTTCTGTACAATTTTTTCCTCTTTCTCAAACTTAAAACCACTTTGAAAGGGCATCATTTCCAATCCATAGGAAATTTAAAAATATTGCATCAAAAAAGTGATTTCCAGCAGCCATTCCAGAAGTGGGAAAGGTGTATTGCCACTACAGGGAAGTATTTTGAATGGGATATTGGTTGAAAGCTTGTAAAATTAGCAATAAAACAATAACGGCAAAAATTTGGTCTTTTTTTTTTTTTAAAACAGTGCTTGTATTTTCCCCAAAAATTTCAGGAAGGAGATAAGAAGTGTTACTTTGTGGTACGAAGTGAAGCAATTAAAATGTGCAGCAGTTAAATGAAAATGTAGGTTTAATTTTGAAAAAAATGTTCAGGAGTTTTAGAAAAATATGTGTGTTCATGGATTATGAAGAAATGCATTAAGTTATTACAAAAGAAGTATACAGTTTCAGTATTTAATATAAAAAGCACTTGTGAAATGTATGAAAAAAATTTGAAAGGCTGTGTGCATGAGCCTAAAAGTTTTTTCCAGTATTCTGTCTGATAATGCATTCTCATGCAGTCATGGTGTGTCTTGTTACCTTGTTACTCAGTAAATAAAATGGCTACATTTGCAGTGAAGAATACAATATATTTTATAATACAGCAGAAAGGAATCCTTTATTGTGGTCCAATAAAAATTTCAGTTAGAGTTCAGAAAGTTACTTTCAAACAGGAAATCTGTCTACAATAATATGAGAAATTTAAAAGTGAGGTTTGCTTTTGCTGTCTTGGACAACTTCCATATCTGAAGGACAAGTTGCATGTGTTCACAGTGCCTTCCAAACTGTAAGGAATTGAGGGTGCATTTTCAGAGATTCCATAGCTTACTGTTTGGAAAATTTTATGAAAGGTTCTAAAATACATTTCATGCAAATCATACTCTCTAAGTGAAGTTGAAACACGATACTGATATAAATTACAAAACAAGAACTTCTCTGCTGTGATCTGATTATTTGTCAACTGAGTTAAATGAGGAATAGCAATTGCATACATCACTGTACAGAATGCTAGGGCAAAAATTCATATCTGCATGCACATATCCCTTCAAATTTCATTTCAACATTTTTCTTTTTATTATTATTGAAATATAATACTTTTGTACGAAGTGCACATCATAATAACACTGTGTATGTACATATAATGTAAATTTTTTTATTCAACCATTAGAACTGATTGTATTAAGTAGTAGCACTGACTGATTCCAAATGTTACATGGATGTAAAAATATCAAATGCAAAAAAGGATTAGCAAAAGAATATTTTTAATTTATTATTTTGTATAGTTCCCACTAAATTTACTGCAACTTTTAGCATTTTGTTTAATTCATAGATTTAATTGATCTTATTTCATTTACTAATCAGGAATTAAAAGTGTTAATGTATCTATTTTAAAAACTCAGTCAGTGCATTTCAAAAAATAAAACTATGGCATCTTCCCCCCCCTTTTTTTTCAGGGACTACTTAAATTATGTTACTTTCAGTTCGGTATCGAAAGTTTGAAATAGTATGTTAAAAAATATAAAGGGGCTATTTTAGGTATATTTCAAGGTTCTTTATTAATAAGAAATATAAAAATTATCTTTTGCTTTGTAATGAAGTTTTTGAATGTACAAAACATAGCATCAAACAAAATTTATCGTCATTTGTGTCTAATATATGGACCAGATGTCACAAGTAAGCAGATGATGCATTGCAGGTACAATCAGCTTTCAGGTTATCAAAATACGCATGATGAGTGCAGTGGGCAGCTAGTGGTTGAATAAATGCAACATAGTATTTTAGAGAACCATTACTTTATGTTTATTTAACTCTGCAGCCATTTTCCTCAGCTTTTCTGCTGCTTGTTGCATGAAATTTTCATCAATTGCCTATTTTTCCAGAAGTTGTGCACAAGGTGGCTGCTGAAGGAACTGACATCTGAGCATAAATCTAAGTGGATGAGCTTGTATTGACATTTCAGCAATGATACCATAGTGATGGTGATAAGCTTCTGAACTAGATCATTACTGTTGATGAAATATAAGTGATACACTTACAGAAAATTAAACAACAATCAATACAGTAGTGTCATAATGCATCTCTTATACAGATGAAATTGAAGCGGACTGTATTGGTGTGGAAAATGATATGCATAGTGTTTTGGAACAAGCAGGCTGTTCTACTCACTGAGTTCCTGATCAGAGGGAAAAGTATGAATGTTGATGATTACTGTGAAAAACTGCAAAAATTGTGACAGGTTGTTGGAAACATGATGTGGTGCACTTAATGTGTGCATTGGCTCATATAGCTCTTTGCCCAACAATTCTAGAAGAGTTCTGCTGAGTCATCTTTGAATACCTGCCATAGATCTTACTTCCAACGATTTCCACCTTTTTTTATACCTCAAAAAATTCCTGTAGTCAGCATTTTCAAAGTGATATAAGTATGCAGATGGCTGTCGCACGTTCTGATGCAAGATGACAGAATATGTATCATCATGCATCAGTTGATGGCAAATGTTGCAGCAATTCAAAGTTGATACTACAAATATGACATTTGTCTTTAAGACATTTGTCTTGTATTAAGACATTTGTCTTAATTCTGAAAGGAATGATGCGGAAAAATTATTGGAAATTGCTGTATCTGTTGCAAAATCTTCCTGTGAGATTATTTACTTTATGTAGATAATACCAAGAAATTTGCTTTCTGAAGCCCCTGTTTAAAATTTTATATTAGAAATTAATTTTCAGGTTTCTGCAAAAAATATATGTACTACCAGCATAAAACTGAACAAAATGAATTTAAAAAAAAAGTATTTTTAAGAGATACACATAATTTATTAGTATGTTGTTGTAATGATGGAATTTTTTCCCAGTAATCAGTTTTTACCATTTTATGTCATCTTTGTTTGCAGCATAAGCAGTAGAATACACATATAGTAAGCATAATGTATTAACTCAGTGAAATAAGCCCAAATCTGACCGCCATTTTTAATTTTAGTTTTACATCTTTGCTACATATAGTTGATGTGTGTGGCAAGTATGTAGTGCTTTTCTGTGCTAATACACTTTATAAACACATCATAAATAATTCTGTGTTTTTAGATATTTATAACATAAAAAGGACTGGGTTGGAGAGAAACATGCTACAGTTCGAAATGTTTTCATCAACTAAGCAAAGAGGCTGCCAGTTAATGATAACACTAAATTTTTGTTGAAAGAAAACAAAGTGTAAAATGTGATAAAATAGATATAAGAAGGAATAAAAGGATAATTTTCTAATTAAAAATAAGATTAAAAGGTCTTGAATGAAATTAAAATTTTGTCTTTCATACATGTACAGACATATATACCATTGTTTGGTAAAAATTAACACATGAAAGAGTTATCATATCGAACAGAAATCGGGCATACAGGTTCACAAAATGCAAATGATTACAAGTTCAGCTGCATATACAAATAGGATGTGTGTGTGTGTTTGGTTAAAAGTTAATTCAGTAGATATAAAATGCACTCCTTAACGATGTATTTGATTGATATTCGTTATAAATACGTAGAAATTTGTCTTGGCACAAAAGACATTATGAAAAATTAGAAGAGGAAGAACTAACAGATTGAGAAAAGTGATTTGCTGCTCATTTTAGTCAAAGTGCTAGTTTAGTTATGTGTAAGTGTAAGAAGGTTCAACACATCAACAAGGATTATGAAGGAATATAACTGCTTTAGAATGAAAGCCAATCACATAGTACATATACATGGCTGGAGAGGATTCATAGTAGTAAAGGATGGTGTACCAGGCTGTGTTTTGCAAGAAATTTTTGTTTATGATTCCTGTAGTGAAAGTTCATTGGTTGGAATCTATTATCATGACTTCATGTTTAGAGCTGTAGATGTCAGCAAATTCATTGGTTCAAAAAACAAGGAAAACTGAAGTACTAAAAGGATGTAAATAATTTTTTTCATTAAGTCTTTATGCAGTCTCATAACTGATGATGATGGACTATTATTTTCCATTACAGGGAAAACTGAATCCAAAAGGCTGTGATAAAGAGTATCATATTGATCTTTGCTGGAATGTTGTTTGAGGTGATATTATATTTAATTCTTGCCGTTGTCTTCTATGTATCACTGGTACTGTAAACAGTCAGCAGCATATCAGTGAGATCCTGGAATTAGAAATTCTGTCACTTTTTCATAGCTAACTTTTAACAGGATAATGCTACCAGCCCCAGCCAATTAAAAAAAAAAAAAAAAAAAAATTGCATGCAGTATTCAATATTTTGCTTTATAACAGGCAGGCATATACCTATTTGTCTTTCACATACACAGTTGCATATTTCAAATATTTGGATCAATAATATGGAAGTTTTTGGATTATCTCCCAGCAAAAGAAATTGTGAATATGAATAAAAATAGCGACTATTAATAAAATAGTTAAGTAAAATTAATAAAGATATGTTTTTATGAAAAGATTCATTAAATGCCAATTTTAAGTCTAGAATTACAAAGTTTCATTATATATATATATATTGTATTTCCTTGCAAAATTTTCCCCTAACTTTTTAACATCAGATTTTGAAAATTTTTAAAAATATTCATGGAATTTTTCCCTTCTCTAAATGTGTTCAAAATGGATTTGTTCATGAAGTGATTGTCTTCATTTTATTAACAAAGACAAACCAGTGTAAGTTCCCTGTGAAGGTCACAGTGAAACAAGTATGGGCTATCATTTACTTTACAGTTTAGCTGAATCAACTGCACATTCACTTTCTGTAATTATTGATGGATGATCTGAGGCTAAGGAATAGCAGAGACAACAATAAGAAGGGACAAGATTCAAGTTACTGAGAGGTAGAAATGAAGTCATCTTATTAGATACTGTTATATTAATATTACTCAGCATTCTTACTGGAATGTCAGTTTCTTCTAAGAAATAATATTGTGACAGTTAGCTATAGTTTATCCGTGATTACTTTTCATTTATGATATTGTAACTGTGCATCCTTTGAAAATTAAATTTTCACATAATTGTCCCCTCTCTGTTTTTGGACAATAAAATTACTAAAAAATACATACACACACACATATACATATATATCTGAGTGAGAGAGAAGCTTAGTACTTCTTAAATATTTCTTTGTAGCATAAAAAATTCAAACCTTTAATTAACTACTATATATTACTGCACCTTCATACACATTTTGAAGTCAGATGTGTATTTTGTTTTGATTTTCATTAATTTTTTTTCTTATTTATAGATATATAAGTGGGCAGATGAAATGATAGGTGGGATATATGAAGAGAATGTTTTCATTCTTCTTTAAAGAAAAACTTTATGTAAAATGTACTAAAATATGAAACATCTATTGATGTAATGAATACATACGATTGTAATGTAACTAAAAAAGATTTTATTTCAAAACTTTACAATGAGAATACTCCATATATGGCATTTAATGATAGTATTTTATAAATTCATGTTTGTATGATTTATTTAATCTAAAGAAGAAAATAGGAACATTTAAATATAGTAAATCATTCATACTACACTAATGTCACTAATCTATAAAATAACTTGTTTTGAAACAAAGTATATTTGAAGATTTCACATATTGGGTTTTCTGAAAAATAAGATTATGATTTTTATGTAGTAATCTATATATATTAGCTAAAAATATGTAAAACAAACATTTAATTTTAACTAGCAATTGTCCTTTTTGTTCTTTATTTTAATTTGGGTATTTTCATTCTCTATCCTAAAAAAGTAATTGCTTTTAATAACTTTCTCTGGACTATGTCATTTCTTTAGATTAACCCACAACTATGTCATTTCTAGATTAATCCACAACGTATTACTTTTACATAATGCTCTGATAAAAACAACTAAGCCTTCAGTCAGTAATAATTTTACAGTTCTGACTTAATGTATCTTTTCTCCCAATTAAATGTGATTGGAATGTTAAGTAAGACAGAATTTCATAATAATCATAAATGGAATTTAATGTTTTTTGTGATTGCCATTTATAAATTTGTAACAACTTGTTTAGTACTCATAAATAAAAAATATGTAAGTAATTATGTCCAAGGAAAACTTGCTTGTGTCTATATTACACATTGGGAAAACACTAGAAACACTCATGCAGCATCCCGTTCACATGGAATCAAATGCAGGTCAAACTACCTGTGTCCAGTGACTTTATTGTTTGGTTGCTGAAGCACTTGTTGCCTTTGAATTTTATATTATAAATGTGTCTGTACTAATTATAAAAATATATATATATATATATAATTCTGATAGCTTCATTTATTTTGGACTTTCACTGTATCCACTATGGAAGAAACTATTGAAGCAAATAAAAAGACTAATAACAAAGAAATGCTAATTCTAGTGGAAAAGGAGAAGTCATTTAGAATAGAATCAGAAACGCAAATTAATTAGTTACTCAGCATGGAGAAATTGATAGCATCCTTTACAAGCTTATGAGATATAAAATCATTAGCAAAGAAGTAAATCAGTAAGAAGTCAGTGCAACATGACAAGGATATACCTGGGCCTGTCAAATATCAAGTAGGGTTATTAGTCTTACCAAATATTTGATAATATTGGAAAAATTTTCCTAAGTGACTAAAGGCCAACAACAATTACTTTTTGTAAGTGATGAATACTGTCAATGTTTGTACTGCATAATTAAAAATTTGATAAATGACTTTTTATTTTATTATAATATAATGCCCTGTTTCTGCTAAGCACACCTTCTGTATACATTATGAACATCGCATATGTATTGAATCCCTGTTGTATGTAGCTTTATGTCCATTGTTATTGTATTTTTTATTATTCATTGTAAATATAAAATTTTTTATACATATTGTATATTTTTATTTCTATTATTTTATAGTATTTATCCTTATTGATTATTACTGTATATTTATTGTATTATTATTGTAATATTCATTATTTATAATTATTGTCTTATAGCAATATTGCACTTGACTGTATACATTTATTTTTCTTGATTGTTTACTATTACCATTAATGATATAACATTAATTTGGACATTCTCTGGCTAATTTTTCATATTTATTAATATCGTTTATAGCTTTTATACATATTTTATACAATATTGAGGTATAAATTATGTCTTAATTTACTAAATAAAATTAGTATTATAGTAATTATTAATATCCTCTTATCTTCTGAAAATTATTATGCATTATATATTAAAAAAATAAGTGACCTACCAATCAGTAGAAGGTAAAATGTATAACCTCCTTCAGTGATCAAAATTATATCTTTTATTGACTTTTCTGTTAAAACAGACTTTGATTTTCAATGGAGCAGTCAAAAGTTGATTAGATAAGATTAAATTAGTTTATCATTAATTAATAATTATTTTAAAAATGGACTAAACAAATGTTTCGATATTATGTAAATTTTTTTTCATATAACATAACTGCAATCAATTATTTTCTGTTGGACATTTTTGTAAAACTTTTGTGATTTTTTATTCTTTAGAATATTCTTTTTATTATGTATGTTAAAATATATTTTTCTTTTACTTAGATTACATGCCAACAAAAAGGAAGCGTGTTGTTTTGACTATGAAGGACAAAATTAATATTATTATCAGATTGAAACAAGGTGAAAGTGGATCTAAACTTGCAGATGAATATGGAGTTGGGAAGTCAACAATTTCAGATATAAAGAAAAATTCAGAATCTATTTTAAAGTATGTCTCTGATAGTGAAGATGATAGTTTGTTGAGAAAAACGATGCGAAGAATTGATTAAAGAAAGATTGTCTGTTCATAGGTTTTCAAAACATTTTTTATGATAATTGATTCTGGATTTTGAATGTATTTGAGTGAGCATTAATATTTAATGAGAAATAGGAGGATATTTATAAGACACATAACAGCTAGCTTGGACATTTTAAAGTCCAGAGTAGAAAGGATTAAGCATATTAAAGAATCACTAAGAGAATAGCATTCAACTTGGATCGGGATTTTTTTTTACAAGGGAAATATCAATCTCTCTCTGTAATTGTGTTTTATTTAAAAAATAAAATGCATTTTATCTGAACTATGAAACTAATCACTTTCAAAATATAACACATAGATTACATACATTTAGCTCATCTTTGTTTTCAAACAGTTGTATTTTTGAAGTAAATTTTCATAGATCTTGCACTAAATAATGAAACACAGGTTTTAATTTTTTTAATTTATTGTTTTTTCTCTATTTTATAAAATAAACACCATTAAAACCTTGTTACAAAATAAACACCTTTAAAATATTCTTGTACTAAAATAATTTATCCAAAAAATGTTCATCAGCAACTGACATAACAATTTGGACACTCGAAAGGTCTCTGGAGATATTTCTAGTAACATTTTTTGTTTTAAATGAAAATACATCGCACAAACTATTGTCTGCATGTGGAAATTATTATTTGCTTAGCAAAATGTATTAACAGTTCCAAAGCTGATGGAACATGGCAAAATGCTACAATTTAATAACGAATTTTGTTAGAAATTTAACAATTCATCATTTAAAGATGGTAAAGTATTCAGAATACCCACCCCCCCAAAAAAGAAATTCTGAATGTAAAGTGTTCAATGGTTTTCTTATGGTATATAACAATGGAAATTTTGTGGAACTGCTGAAAATGCACTGAAGTTTGGACCACATTTTGGCCAATACTAAGGAATCTCAAATTTATCCTTTGAAAAATCAAACAACACCCTAAAATTAGTGCTGTAAAACTTGCTGGGGATATAAAAGAACGCTTTTCAAAACAAGTTAATTTTGAAACTCTTAGAAAAGACATTAGGGCACATAGATGCAATGGATGGTCAGCATGGAGGAAATTCTTTGTCAAAAAGAAAACAAGGAAAATATACCTGGATTTTGCAGAATCCATGGTAAACAAAGATTTTTTATATTAAAATGATACTATATTTGCAGATGGACAAGTTACTCTGTGGTGAAAGCCACATGAAGAATTGAATTAAAAAACCTGTTGCCTGCTTTTAAGCAGTGCATTTTGAGGAAAGGGTGCCTGGACCTGGCATTGCTCGAGGCAGCCTTACACGGTTAATTGCCCCAACCTCAAAGAGGCATACCCCCCAAGTCAACCCAGCGGTACAATTTTTGTTTCACAAAGTCTGGGTTTTAGTACACAGAGTCAGTGGTGGATGGTTATGCATCTACCTAAAATTAAAGTCCACTTGTTTGACATCAACTGTCCTAGTGTTGACCAAGGAGAGCCAAACCCATGCAGTGTCTTTACAACCAAGGGGCAGACAAGCCAGTACCATATGGTCCCTGCCGAGCCTGAACCTACCACCGAATAAATGATGATTCCAGTTACTGTCAAGACTGTTAATTTTTCCCAGGAGTCTGTCTAGATATCGACCTAGCCAGAATGCTGGGATTGCTCCCAGTCGACCCCCAGGGAGAAAGCCTGCTTTTAACCTTCAAAAACTTACCGGAATAGTAACCATTTGTCTATGAGTCGAACAGTGCTTAAGCGTGTTTAAAATCTATTTTAAAAGTTAATTAAAATAAAAGTATACTACCCGCAGATGATTTCAGAACTCTGAAACTTCAAGGTAGCAAGGAAGTATCATTTATTTATTCTTAAAGCAGTCTTTACACATACTAGCATGTTGTTCTCTGAGCATTACTCTGGAACATGTTTGACAAAAGTTGGGAGTCATTATGCGCAAAATGTAAGAAAAAAAGCACAATATTTTTCTTTTTTTACTGTCAGATTGTTCAGGAGGTTTCAACAGTTCCTTTATAATTGTTCTTGTTGATCGAGGCAAAGTTGGTATGCTGTAACTCTTCTTCATCCATGGAGCAAGAACATCTTTACTTACTTCACATAGTAGCTATATTGCGAACGTTTTCCTCGATGATGCCTTTTCAGATTTTATATTATGTAAGTAGATAACATGTGCATGCATTAAACTGATAGTTATCATGCTGCGAAACGCAGAAAAGAGGCCTTAGCTGAGTTTTCTGCTACATGACATCTTGTTGCATATCTGATCCAATGTGTCTGCAGTGCATTTTTTGGCTCAGTTATTTGGCTCTTTAATAAATGGATAATATTGCAAGGTGCTGTACTTATGTTGTTTGATTTAGGAACAGATGACCATTTATCTTTACCACTCGGCTGAATTTTACCAGGGTAAATAACACATTTTTCATGACTCAATAAATTTCAGAATTTTTTAACTTTTTAAGCATTTTTTTTTAAGCTCCGTATTTCAAATTTAATTTTTCAACTTGTTTTAGCATTTTCTTTTTTAGGTCCATATTTCAAATGAAAATTTTCATCATCCAGGGTTTGTTTTTAAAACATTGTTTCTTCTTCATTTTTATTGTTGAGTGATAATTCCTCATTTCCATCTTTGTCGCCATCTGTTAATTCGTGATTTTCAACCTCAGCAAAATCTTTCTCTGATTCATCCTAAGAAATAGAATTTTCTTCATCACTCTTGGGTAGCCTCAAGTCTACCCCAAAAATTTCTCCCTGAAAACTCTTTGACTTCTTCAAGGCAACGCAGAATTGAACTTAAATCAGATTCTGAAATGAAACGTTACAGCTAACCATTCGTCTGTGAGACGAATATTGTTCTAAAAATACTATATGCGAAAATATGTCTGTAAGAAGGAGTGTCCTAATCTATAGCAGCCAATATCATATAAAGGTACTGAGTCTCGCATCCCAATTCCTGTTTTAGGGAAGGCCGGGCAAGGTTAAATGTTATGGGCTTCGTCCAGGAGACAAATGGGTAGCATTCTAGGGTTAAGCAAGAAGGTGGAGGCATAATGGTTTGAAGATGTTTTGCTGCTTCTGGGATGGAAAATTTAGCTTTTGTAGAAAATAATATGGATCTATGTAAATGTACAAATATTCTTAAAAAAAAAAAAAAAAAAAAAAAAAAAAAAAAAAAAAAAAAAAAAAAACTGAAAGCGTCAGCTACAAACATTGGAATGCAAAATATGTTCAAGCTTTATCAGGATAAGGATAAGGATACTAAATCTTTGCTTGTGGTTATTATACAACTGGTCTTGAAATTAACAAAGCCTTTTCATATTCATTGGGATTAAATCCTGTGAAACAGGTACGGAATGAGTTGGAGAAAATAATAAGGAAGCATGGCATTTCTTTGAAAGTAATTCTTACAAAGGAATGAAATATTCTTACATGAAAAATTCAGTGTTATTCATGAAAAAGCACATGAGAAGTATAATTTTATATAAAGGATATCCAGAGAAATACTGAATATTAAATTATTTGTATATTTTTATTAAATAAAAGTGTTTGTTCAAAGTGTGCAGATACTTATGCGAGTTATTTAAAAAAATTCTTGAATAAATTATTTTTTTAACAAAAATGTTTTGAATAATTTTTTTTCAAAGCAAGCATGTTTAAAATAAGATGATCAGCAATATACATGAAAGAAGAATAAAGTCATAGCCATCATTATATATAAATGAACATATAAGGTCTGTTAAAAAAGAATTTGACTAGCGAATGTAAGTGCTCATTACCTATTCACAGGAATTCATCTTGCATAGGTCATTATTTTTTGTGAGAAAAAATAACGTTAGACATTTCTCGTATGGAAAGTTATTATCAATAATGAGTTCATCTCTGAAAAGATTTTATATTGTATGTAATATCTAAATTTTCTCTGAAATTAAACACAAGAAGAACTCAGTTTAAATTGTTGTGTTACTGTAATACAGGTTTTGATACCTAATTTTACAATGGTGTAATGTATACCATGATATACCAGCCTTTCACAGACTAATTTAGCACAAAATTACAAAGATTATATTAGTAAAAACAATCACTCTACAAACATTTTGTTAAACTATGTCTCAAAATTAAAATGATGAAGTAAATCATTACAAATAAATCAGATGAATCTTTAACATTAATTTTTTGTAAATTTAATTAACTCTTAATTTAAATAAATTTTGCACACATTTAATATTTTGTATTTGTTTAATATTTTTAGTACATTTAATATACTTATAGTTTATTGTACACATTTACTTTTGTCATTCATAACATAGTAATCACAACTGAAATACAGCAGCATATTCATGTGTTTTGCCATTTTGTTGACAAATAGTTTCATATTCTTAATCTATTTTAACTGGTGAAGAGACTTTATGATGTGTCATCAGAGTAAGAAATTCTTTAATAACTTGGACTCAATTCATTGATAAATTTCTTCATGAAAAATTGTGAATTCTTAATGTGGGAACTATAATCAAAGAGAATTTTGCTAAGTGGAAAGAGTTAAAATATTTATAACATAAAATGTTTTAGTTTCTAAATCAATTACACCTTTTTTTGTAAGTTTTTTTATAATGCATTTTGAAACTTTCAATAACTGCAAGTTATGGAATTGATATAGGAATTTAATGTTTACTAATTTTATTTTGAAATTAAGCCCTGAATGCAAATGTTTATGTAGAAACATAATTCAGAAGATAATATTTTATCTTGTATATACATAAAAATTTTGATGTGGAAATGCACGAGTTATTAAAAGTACTTAAGTCATGCTAGATTGAGAAAAAGTTTAACAAAAAGCTAGAATGAGTAAAGTTGATAGTTGTTTAAATTGAAATATGGTGTAACCTCATCAATTACATGAAGTAATTATGGACCAAAGCCTTCTTGGATTATCAGAAACTCAGTTGACAGAGAGTAAAGTTTAATCATGAATTATAAAAATTAAATATTAATTTTTTTTTCAACAATACTTTCAGAAAGTGTTTATTTTAAATTCTAAAAGTAAGTGAACAAATACTATTATTAACATTTAAAAAAACTCTTTTATTAATGAATAAAAATCAAACAAATAATAATCAATAACCTTCAGTTAAACAAATAATGCATACAAGATTTTACTTTATGAAAAAACGTGGAATCCATCAAAACTGAAGAAGCTGTGAAATTTTGTTGAGTTTCTTGCATATTTTAAGTTAAAATTCATGCTGAATAAGTATTAATTTGAAAGTCGAACAACAAAAATCAGTGTTATATTTGCAAATTTTTATTCTTTGACTTCTAAATTAATATTTCTTACATATGTTTCTGAGCACCTTTTTTTTTTTTTATTTGGTAAAAAAAAAAAAAAAAAAAAAAAAAAAAAAAACACTGATACTATTTTTTGTGATATATAGATCTATAGGTTGTATTATCATGCAACTTTTTCACAGGTGAAGCATCAGGATGCTGCGTGCTCATCATGGTTAATTTTTACATTATCAGGTTCAATTTTATGATCATCCTAAGATTACTCAATTTTTGTTGTTCTGCAGATATGCAGTGCAATGATTTCCTCATTTACTCAAAACTTGAAACCTTGGGTTTCTAGTTTTTATATTGATCCGTTACATCATCCTGAATTATGTCTTCACATCCTAATATCTTTTGAAATATGTTTATAGATTCATTGTCATTTGGGGATGGACTGTTAATTGTTGCTTTTATTTTTAACATGTGTAACTATATCTTTTACATAATGCTTAATAGGAAGGCTATTAAATGACGCATCCCTGATGAGCTTAGTCACTAACCAGACACTTCATGCATGTTAATGATTTTCATTATACCCTTTCTATGTTACTGTATTTTTCCAATGATTTCTTACAAACTGAAAGCTGGCTTGGTTATAGTGACAGATGCCTACTTACTAGAGACTAATAATTTGAATAAAGTTCTGTCCAGCCTAAAATGTTGAGAATTTTGCTATAGTATTCTTACAACAGTGTAACGTTTCTGTATTAGCCTATTTACTTGAATTTTTCTTACTAATTTTACTGCTTGAAAACTATGACGATAAAAATACACAGAATACATTATTTCTAAAGAGGTAGCTTAAATGAAAAATATTGAACATTAAAAAGCACACATAACGACATGCTAATATTATTATACTACGTTACAAAGGGCTTATCAATTTCAATAATTCTTCTATATATACAAGATAATTTCTTATTTGTGTATATGTTTTACCATTAATCTGAAGTTCTATGTCATATGTTTAAAAAACTTGGGGGAGATAGATGGCGATTCAGCCATAACTGAACTCTTTATTTACTTTTTAGAATAGAGAATAATTTAAAGAATAGAATCTAGTTTAGAGAATGTAGGAAGATAACAAACAAAGTGGTTATGTTTTTGGAGTTAGTCTTCAAAAAGTTTCATTTACGACAGCACATTAGGGCCTTCATTATAAAGGTGGTTACATGGGATTCTCCATTATTTGACATGTTTATTGCACATTAGGATACATTCATGGTTAGGTTACTTCACACTTCACTTTCTCTATCTTTTATACAATTATATATAGACAAATACAGAATGTACCAATGTATATTGAAAAGTGTACCTGGCGATAATGGTTGAAAGGTTGCTTTAAGAGTTTCATTTTTATGCCAATAGTAGAAATGTGGATTCTTGATCGCAGCATAACGTTACCAATACCATTTGATTTCCAGTACTTGCTGTGGTAGTAAGATGAGGATTGTTGTTCACTATTTGCTTTCAAGTACTTGTTGCATTTATAGGATTTGTTATTTGACTTAGTTTTTTTTATGTATTAACATAATTTACATCTGCTGATTTATGATGCATGCTGTGTTATTTAAATTAAGTGTTTATATACTAACTAATATTATATTATGTTCTAGTGCTTACAGTTAGTATTCATGGTAATTATTAACTGGAATCTTTTTAATTTAAGAAGCACTTCTAGAAAAAACCCAGTAAATGTAAACAATTATGGCAATAATAGTTCAAACATGGTAATCCAATGGAGTCGTTTTTTCAGAGGAAGTAAGCATTCCTCTTAGATTGTTTTCGGTTCCTTAGCATTGCACTGCCAAAGAACAATTCTTTGGAAAGACTTAGTGGGTGCAAAACAAGATATCTACTTCTCCTGGCTTCAATTGATATCTAATCTATGAATAAGATGATGTTACATGAAAAATGTATTCTTAAAGCTCAGTAAATTTCTGCATATCTCCTGTATTCAGAGTTCGTACACATTTTTGAACATGGAAGGACCATTAATGAAAAAAATTAAGGACCTATCCACAAATGGGAACTGAATAAATTCAATCAACTTATGTCTGAACTTCACTTTTGTACTACGAATAAAATAGATCCGTAAGTAGGATGCATTCTTATTAAACATAATTTAATAAACATAACTATAAAACAAATTTGAGAATAAAATCTACTTTATAAAACTTATCAAGTAGCATTGAATATTTTTACACGCATAATAGTTGGACATACTTGAAAGAAGATTAGGGACATTTTGTTTACATTATACTAACAGTTAGCTTTATGTTAATTTCTTCTTTTATGTCTCATTTTGCCACATACTTAGTCTACAGGTTTAGTAAATAGCAGGTAGATTTTATGTCAAATGGCACAGTTTAAAATGAGAAATAAAATCATTATCAGCATGATTTGTAACAGAAGACTGGCTGTTGCCACAACTGCTGCTTGCCTAGACAAAGACCTGTTGATAAAAAAAAAAAAAAAAAAAAAAAAAAAAAAAAAACCTGAAAGCCTGATGCTAACATGACTGCAGTAAGGATTAATAAAAGGCAATAACTTGCTTTAATATGCAGAGATAACTTTTAAAGGTGAGCAGTTAGTTACAAATAATTAAATTAGGTAGTTAAATAGTTAGTACTTTAGTTATTATAGATTTACATGACCACTATTAAATTTGATTTATTTTTTAAAACATTTGTTATGAATAATTACAAATTACCAAAGCTGGCAGGAACTAAGGCAACATCCAAGTGGAAGGCAAAAACACTCTGTCTTCAAAATCCTGAATTTAAAAACTATCTTATTTGCATTATGTTGATTAAATGGAAAGGGAAAGTTATAGTAAAGGCTAAAATTATAAACAACTGTTTAATTT